GGGAGCGGGGAGGGGGTCTACTTGGGGAGGACCTGGAGCGAGGAAGAGCGGCGGGGGGGGGAGAGCTGCAGTGCGGTAGGGAAACAGACGGTAAAAGGGGACCGACTCGTCAAAGGTGACGTCCTGAGACGCAAAGACATGGCGCGAGGCAGGGTCGTAAAACTTCCAGCCAGGCGCGTCAGGGGGGAAACCAAGGAAGACGCAGGGAATGGCGCAAGGGGAGAGCTTGTCCGCAGTGGTATCGCGGACAAAGGCACGAGCACCCCAGACCCGGAAGCGCGACGCATCGCCAACCTCCCCCGTCCAACGTAGTGTGGGCGAAGTCTCCGGAACGGAGACACGGGGCGAGAGGTTGAGCTGATGCGCGGCGTACCGGACCGCAAACGGCCACAGAAAATGGGGGGCAACCGCATGGATCATGGAGGTACGAGCGACCTGCATGACTAAGCCAATGCGGCGCTCAGCAACCCCATTCTGCTGCGGAGAGGCCGGGAGCGTGAACGTCTGGCGGATGCCGTGCTCCTCACAGTAGGCTCGCAAGAGGTCAGAGGAGAACTCACCACCTCTGTCAGAGTGCAGACGCAGGACAGGAAAGTCCGACTCGAACCGCTCGCGGAGCTGGAGACGAACAGCGCGGATCCAAGGGATCAAAACAGCAGGGACATCCCCCTTGCGCTGCAAGGGGAAGACCGTGGTGTAACGCGTGTAGTCGTCGACTACCAGCAAGAAGTACCGCTCGTGGCCCTGTCCACGGACGCGGGTTGGGCCCCACACGTCCAGGTGGAGAGTCTGCAGTGGAGCCTCTATGGGAGGGAACGAGGAGGAGTGAGGAGCGGCGCGCTGCCGCCCCTCGACGCAAGGAATGCAGGGCGGCGCATGCGAGGGAGGGAGGGAGGGCAGAGACCTGGGAAGACCAGAGACCAGGAGGCGAGAGTGCATGCCACGAAGGCGAGGCAAGGAGGGGTGACCAAGGCAGTGGTGCCAAAGGAGAGTCTGGTGCGACAGGCGGCGACACTCACATTGGGTAGCTACCTGAGCGGACGCGTACGACTGAGGAGACAAAGGGGTGGAGTGCGACGCAGTGGTGAGGGTGTACAGACTGGACCCAGGCGGACGTCTGAACGTGGCCAGGTGGCGGCCTGTCCGAGAGCACGTGCAGATCGCCACACGCTGTCCTCCAGGAGTAAAGGTGTCAACCCAATGATCCTGAAGGACGCCGTTGCTCACCAGGTTCATAGAGAACGAGGGGAGGTGGAGACCAGACAGCTCACCAGACGGGACCGCCGGGCACGGAAGCACAGTGGTGGACCGTGCAAGCACTGGGCCCCCAGAGGGGTCAGCCAGTGAGACTGGGACAGGTGCAAGGAGGGGAGTGACTATGGTACTGTCGCGAAAGAAACAGCGGGAAGCACCAGAGTCAGGAGTAAAGGTGTGCAAGGCCTGAGCCGACACAGTACCAGGGAGAACAGACTCACAAGCACCAAGGGCTGCAGGCTCTATACCTGGGGCTATACCTGGGTCAGGCGGTACACACAAGTAGCAGTCACCCTCAGCACAAACAGTCAATGCATACATGGCAGCAAGAATAGCATCATAGTCAAGATCAAAGATAGGAACATCACGCCTAAGCAGCTCAGCCCAAGGGGGAAACTCAGTAGCCTCAGGAAACTTGACGCGCCAGGCGTCGCTGAGCCGAGAGAAGCAGCGGTACTCCGTGTGAAAGCCGTTGCATGGGCGACCAGCGCGGGGACCTGTGCGAATGGTATAGGTGCAGCGAACAGGACCCCCAGACGCCCCACGCTGAGCGTACCAGTCATGAAGCTGCTGAGGCGTAGGGGTCTGACGCTGACGCTGCTACTGCTGCTGCTGTCCCTGGCCACCACTGGAGCTCCCCTTCTGGCCGGCTCCACTCCACCTCCCACCACCGCTGCCACCACCGCTCCCTCCTCCCCCACTCCCGCCGCTGCCACCTCCACTGCCCCCGGCACCCCCGCCGCCCCCACCACCACCTCCACCCCCACGACCACCCCCACCACCTCCACCACCCCCGCCGCCTCCACCACCGCCCCCTCCACCGCCACCTCTTCCTCCCCTGCCACCCCTGCTGCCCCTGGCGCTGCGGCGCTTCCCACTAGGAGCGGAAGCATCCCCGACCTCTTCAGCACCAAGGTAGTCGAGAGCAGCTGCAATAGTGGCGTAGGAGGGGGCAAGAGGGGAAGGGGAGCACCCCTCAAAGAGGGGAGTGCGAGGAGTGCCACGAGCAGCACCTAGAGCAAGAATGTTCTTTTCAGCTGCTAGGAGGTGCGTCTCAAAGTCGGCGACAGTGATAGTGGTCGGGTCTAGGGCGAGAAAGTGGTCCCTGACTGAGCGAAGAGTGTCAGGGAGGCGGGTGATGAGGAAGTAGAGAGTAAAGTACATCGGGGGGTGATTCTCGGCGAGGAACTCGTCTGAAAGGGCGGCACAAAAGCGAGCGTCACTAGCGCGGAGGTGAGAGATGATGTCCTCAGCGTTGGTAAACGAGGACAGGCCGAGGAACAGGTAGGGTAGCATGAGACGGCCTACGGCTGCAGAGGCTGGGGAAGAGTAGCGGGCAACTACAGCCTCATACAGTGCCTTAGCAGTCTTGTGCTGACTAAAGTGCGCGCGCTCAGTGATCGGAAAATGGTTGCGAATAGCGAGGCGCGCAGCTGCATCACGAGTCTGCCACTGTGAGCGGTCAAGAGCGGCACCAGTGTCAGCAGGAGCAACGGCAGTGCCAGTCACGTAATCGAACAGTGAAACTCCATCTTTGGCATCAGTCAGAAGAAACAGTTTCAGGTCGTCGAGCCAAGTGGCAAACTCTATCGGGCGACTTTCAGGATCGAAAGCGAGGACATTGAGAGTCGCCATGAGTGCAGCGCAGGTGAGAGTAGTGCATAGGCGGCAAGGCAGAGCACAGACAGGAGAAACAACGCACAGGGCGGCAGTGGCGGCGCACAAGCTGCTGGGGCGGCACGCACGTGGCAAGGGCGGCGCGTAGGGCAGCGGCGAGGCGCGCGCAAGCTGCTGAAGCGGCGCGCGGGCGGGTAAGGCAGCGCGCGGCAGAAGCGGGCCGCGCTAGGGCGGCGGACGCGGCGCGCGGGGCAGCAGCGGGCTGCGCGGGCGGCGGACGCGGCGCGCGGGGCTGCAGCGGGCTGCGTGGACGGCGGACGCGGCGCGCGGGACAGCAGCAAGCCGCGCGCGGGCTCCTAATGCGGCGCGCAGGTTCCTAAGGCGGCGCGCGGGGCAGCAGCGGGCCGCGCGCGGTCTCCTAAGGCGGCGCGCGGGACAGGAGCAGGCGGCGCGCTCAGGACTAGGGCAGTGCGCGCAGGCAAGGCGGAGGCGCGCGCGGGCAGCGCAGCGCAGGCACGACGTGGGGCAGCTTAGTAACCGCAACGGTAGGTGGGCCCTAAAAAAAAATCGGTCCTACGGACCTACTGCTCTGAATACCATGTCAGAATCCTAGGCAGGAATGGATGAACTAGAAAAGAGTTTGGTACAAATATGAAACCCTAAAGGGGATGTACCCCATATTGGCTACCCCGCTACAGCCTAAACATATATAGCATATATATTTTTTGACAATCTCTCGTTACATCTGTCTCGTCTGCTACCACCACCACGAACACATCAACCAACTGTTCACTAGAAAACAAGCACCATACTGCTCTTGCTTTTCCGAGCATCAATCATGGTGTGTGGTCTAAGAATGTGAGGGGCCTCGAATTGTGTTACACCCTTCTTTCCTTTAGCATGGTAACAACTTTTTTTCGGTGGATATCAATGGGACTCAGAAGGAGAAAGTTGCTAGAAAATCCCACCTTGGATGGTGGCTTGTTGCTGTTGAGAATATGTTTGTATGCTTTTATTATAAGTGCACTGTTCGAAGTGTGCTTACAGGGGCTCGCCACAGCGAGGGATTTGAACCTGGTGGCGAGTCAACGGGCCGCAACCGAACACAGCGGTTGCGACCCGCGTGGCAGCTCAAGAGTCGAATCGACAGCAGGAGTCATCGTCTACAGTACGCGAAACTGACCTGTGAGCGCGGCAGGATACCGCGCCCTTGCCGAAGCTGAAAAGTCTCGCCAGCGCGACTGTAACAAGGCAACCCAAGCGACGCAGCGCAACTGTTATACAGTTGCGCCTTGGTAACTGTTTGCCCTATGCGTTTGCTATATAACAGAATATAATGCCTTGCTCATATTACAGAATTCTCAAGCTTGTGTCCGGCCTACCCTCGGCCGCTGCTTTGGCACCACGTTACAAGCCAGGAGAGCTACCTCTGAGTGACCAATAGCCCCGCCGTAGGGACGTCGTTAATTCCTAGAGCTTCCGCTGCGCTCTAGCGACTTCTTATTTCCAACAGTTGCAAGCGTTCAGAGAGTGCAACATTTCCTGCACATGGCGCACACACAATGCACATGCTGGGGCTTCCTTGCTTCAATCAACATCCACTTTGACACTAAAGCCCCGGCTCCTCCCCTCCCCTCCCTCCCTCCCTCCCTCCCTCACCCCGTGATAGAAGTATTGTTTTGAGGCGTCTCAAAACACTACTTCTATCACGTGGCTCCCTTGTTTCAATCAACATCTACTTTGACACTAAAGCCCCGGCTCCTCCCCTCTCTCCCTCCCTCACCCCCTCTCTATCCCTTCCCTGTGCTTGTCGGTTGCACCTAAGACCCTTTGCGTACGCTGAATCACCGTTAAATTCAGTGATGATGGAGCTTGAGGGGGAGAGGACAGAGAGAGGGGGCAGGGAGGAGGGAAAAGGTAGGGAAGTCTGACCGCTTACACACAGTGGGTGGGAATTCTGACCTGAACCCGTTTCTTCACATTTCTTTCACATTTTTTGTTCTCCTGAAGCAGGAAGATATACAGTATGTTCCTGGCATACGCATGACTTTCCTTCCATGTCCCCAGATTCGATCACTCAATTAGTAATAAGTAACTCGGGAATCGAAATTGTACTCCTCGATATAACCTCAGCCCTTGCTCTTCTTGTGTCTCACTCTCCTTACCCTCCTCATCTCCCTACCCATGGCATAACTATGAGAACTATCAACTCTCCGCTCCTTCATTCCACCCTTCTGCATTTCACCCTTCTTTCCACCATCACACCCTTCCCCGTCCTCCTCCCCTTCCTCCCCGTCCCCCCCGTCCTCCTCCCCTTCCTCAATGTCCCCAGCAGCTGCAACCAGCTTCTCTTCCCGTTTTTTTGCCACCAGCTTTGCCGCTTTCCCAATGTGGTGATCGCACAGGGAGAATCCGAGCCTCGGAATCCTCATACACACCCACCCCTTGCCATCCGTGCGACTGCAATGCCGTGCCACCGACTGTGTGAATGCGCTCCCAGGGCTATCATTCCCAGGGGAATTACCCCCAGGGATATTACCCCCAGGGGAATTACCACCCGAGATATCACTCCCGGGGGCTGGTGCTCTCGGTATCGAGCCGTCTCTCTTATTCCTCTTGGTGGCTTTCATCTGCCGTCTCTTCTTGCTTGTAACGGAATTTCTGCGTGTAGCTCTTGCTCTCCTGCCCTTGCCCAGCTTTCCCAGTTCAAAAGCGCTGTTCTCGCTGCCTCCCTCGCCCTCCTCACTGATCCCACTCACAGCACCTCCACTGTAATCACTGCTGCTGTCCTCGTTACAAGCAGCTTCGCTGACCCAGCCTTCATCACTCAAGTCATCGTAAAATGCACCCATCACCTCCACTGCGACCTCCCCATCACGCCCCTCATCTCCCTCCCCATCACGCCCCTCATCTCCCTCCCCATCACGCCCCTCATCTCCCTCCCCATCACGCCCCTCATCTCCCTCCCCGTCACGACCCTCATCTCCCTCCCCATCCCCACCTCTACACTCCATCACCCCACCAATTTCTCCATCCCCAACGCCCCTCCCTCCCAGTCCCTCACCTCTCCTTCCCCTCCTCTCGCTTCTCCTCTCACCCCTCCTCTCCCCTCTCCTCCCACCTCTCATCTCCCCTTCCTCCCCTCCACCGCTGCGCTCACAATCACCTGCGACGGCATCAGACGCGCAATGCACTCGATGCAAGGCCAGAGAAGGGGAAAGCAGCAGCTGCTGGGCTGCCTGTGTGCGGCGCCTGCAATCAACTCTCTCTCTGGCTCTGTGGCTTCGAGGCGGCTTGTCAGTCGACTCAAAGGGCAATTCAGGGGCCACCAGGAGCTGGGGTGAATGGGTGTGGCGCCTGCTGGGGGCTCTGGCTCTCATGCTCCGGGGGCGCTTGCTTGGTGTGGCACCGCCAGGCTGGGGCGAGGGTGGGTGGAGTGGTGGGGCGTGAGTCTCACCTTGAGGCGCAAGCGCCTGGATGGAAGGCTGCTTCTTCTGGTGCCTCTGAGGCGCCTGGATGGAAGACTGCTTTCTCAGCTTGCCACGCATGGGGATTGGAGCGGCGGATGGAAGACTGGTGGATGGGGATTGGAGCGGCGGGGTTTCTGCCGAATCTGCAGAGATTTTGGTTTCCGCCTTGGGTAAGAAGGTGTCGTGCGAGCCAGGCCCGTGTGAGGGAGGCTTGGGTGAGGCAGGCTCGGGTGACGCAGCCTCGGTTGACACAGGATTGGGTGACGCAGGCTCGGGTGACGCAGGCTCGGGTGATGCAGGCTCAGGTGAGAGAAGGTCCTTGAGAAATTTCATGCTGACCCGCCCTGGGCGCCCGCCCCTGCGCTTTACTGCTGCCTGTTGGGCTGGCTGTGTCAGTTTTCGGGGCAGTGTTTGTGGCTGTGGCTGTGCATGTTCCATTGTAGCAGGTGCTGGTGATCTTTGTGCTGCTGTCTGTGCAATTACCGGAGCTGCTGCTGCTGCTGCTGCTGGTGGTTGTAATGGTGGTGGTGCTTCTGATGCTGATGCTGGTGATGCAGGTGATGGCGATGTTGGTGTTGGTGGTGCTGTCTCTGCTGCTGTCTCTGCTGCTGTTGCTGAATCTGCCGTTTCGGCAGGTGTTGAACCTGCCAACACAGCTGCTGCTGATACCACTGCTGCTGCAGACACTCCTGGTGCAACGGCTGCTGCAGATGCTGCTGATGCGATTGGTGCAGCCGGCCGTGTCGCGCCTCGGAGTAAAGGATCGCTGCAAGAGGCAGTGGACTGGCATGCCAGAGGGTCCTGGCAGGCACGAGCTTGATCTGGACAGCTGCAGATGTTATCTCCACACTCGAGGTGATGCTGATGCTGATCGTCACTATTGTTGCACACGGAGGGACATGGAAAGGCCGAAAAGGGGGGAAGGGGGAAGGGGGGGAGGGGGTGGAGGGAGAGGGGGGTGTTTACATTAGTTTGAATGGTGGTGAACGACGTTGCGAGCGCAAAGTATCTCTTTTTGAGAAATGCAAACATAACTGATGCTGATGCTGATTGATCTTAACAAGACCCTTGAAGTAGAGATGATGCTGCTGCTGCTGTTGGTGATGATGCCTGCGCATGGAAGGGGATAACCATGGAGGAGCAGCAGGGGGGACGCAGAAGACTGTAACACTGTGAGGGCAAGACACTTCCTCCCAAGCCCTAAAATTGACCACACATAAGAGCCTTGAGGTGATGAGGGTGCTGCTGCTGGTGATGGAAATGGCGATAACGATCATCAGTTAGGGCTGCACCTAGAGGGGCTTAGTATGAATATATATTTTTAGGAAAAAAAAAAAAAAAAAAAACACGATGAGGGAGCTGCTGCTGCTGCTGCTGCTGCTGCTGCTGGTGATGGAGGTGGCGATAACAATCACCAGTTTAAGCTGCACCTGGAGGGGCCAAGTATGGTGCAAGGAGGAGGGACGCACCACAGTGTGAATGGCGGTGAGAAACACAAGATCACGTAGAGCACGGCCGTGCACGTCAGGCATCATACTAAGCATGAGCAGCATGCGCCAAGCATACTACGCAGTATGCTGCAACCGCGGTTGCGACAGCCCTCTTCCTGGTGTCGCAGCCGCAGGTGCCTGCAGAGGCCCCAGACCCGCGCAGGGAGCTCACGTGAGAAGCACCGTCAGTAACACGATGGTTGAAAATGTGCAGCATGTTTCACCGCACAGTGTGATATTGCGTGTGACTGCAGAACAAACCTGCATGAAATGCTCGAGCTTCTGCAGGCTTACTACTAGCTAGCTTTTGAGTCGACTCAAAAGCCTGCTTGTTCACCGAGCCAGCGTGACAGTGCATGCGTTTCTGTGGGCTTAGAAGTTGACTTTTCAGTCAACTCAAAAGTCTGCGTGGTTCTTCGAGCCAGCTTCAACTACACGAGCATCTGCATGCAGGCTAAAGTCATGCGGATCATGGTAGGTTGTTGAGACAAGAAGCAAGGAGCATGATGGTTAGGACATCCGCGAAAGGAGCTTTCTCTCGTTCACCACATAACCGGCACATTCCGCTCTTTCACGGCACACTCGTCTTAACAACTTCACCACACATTCCACTGCACCCCAACACTCCAAAACACAGTATGGTACAACGGAAATTATGCTAATCCTGGAAACTTCCCGTGCAAAGGGGGAGCAGTGAAAGCGGCGCGTGGTGCAAAGGTATGGTGCAGCACACATCTGCAGCCATTAGATACTTAGTAGGCTCAATAGTAGTAGCAGCACTGTCTCTTGGAAGGACGAAGTGAGGGGGAGGGGAGCGTGTGTGAGTGTGTGTGAAGGAGCGAGGAAGGGAGGGAGGGAGAGAGGGGCGGAGGGAGAGGGAGGCGGGAGAAAGGGACGGAGGGAAGGAGGGAGGGAACCAGGACTAAGCAATGTCCCTCCGGGGCTGCTTCGCCGTACTGAAGCCCACGGTGGAGCTAGCTGGACTTTTGAGTCGACTCAAAAGTCACCACCGAGCTAGCGCAACTTTTGAGTCGACTCCATAGTTGCTTCAGGGACCCACGGTGGGAGCTAGTAGCTGGAGGTGACAGAGTCTGCGAGCCAACGGTAGTTATGGAGCTTCCCTCAGCCTGAGGTAGCTATGACGGGAGCAGGATGCTTATAGACGCCTTGCTCGCTTGAGCTCACCTCATTCTCTGTAATGCTGCCATGAATCAAATGAATCAGTGAATCAAAGCAGAGGATCGTTTGAGAGAGAGAGACAGGGGAGGGAGAAAGGGGAAGAGGGGGGGGGAGGGGGAGGGAGGGGGGGGGTGGGGGGAGGTGAGGGGGGGGGGGGGAGGGGGGGGGGGGGGGGGGGGCTGTCTTGTCTATGCTTATGTCAAAGGACCATTGGAACGTTGAGGAGAGGGGGACGACGGAGCCGTCACACCCGGCGCTTGCAGGACCACAAAAAAAGGGTTGACTCAAAGAAAAGAAGGGTCGACCAATTTTACAGCCGCTCGCGGCAAGATCGAATCCGGGTTTCCTGCTGTGTCATTGCAACACTGGTGTTACCCACTCGAAGCAGATCTGCCGATGCGTCGGCGAGGCGACTGGAGCTGCCCGATGTATAGTAATATCATATTATCGATGATGTTGATGATGATGATGGCGAAACATCGTGGTAGGTTTTACTGATTTGCTACCATCATGATAGCTTGCATGCGGTTTGGCGGGAGCCGCGATAAACTTACGCCTGGTGTGTTGATCTCTCGAATCCACGGTGCTGCTTTTGAGAATTTGCGGCACAGTCTTGCTGATTTGACGTCACGTCGTAGAAATGAAAAGAGTTTCGCTTCTTTAAACGAACGCGTGCTGCTGCTTCCAGCGGAATTTCCAGATCATCCGCCGGAATAGCCGGCAATGATGAGAGATCGCGAGTGTTGCAGGCTGCAATCATGGCACCATTGCCAGTGGGGTTGTAAACCCCGCCGCCAGCGGCGGCTAGTTGCGCAAGCCGTTTCCGTATCCGCATTTCGCGGTATCACTAAATTACAGCAGCGGCGGTGCGATCAGACAACTACCACTATGACGAAAGGTTTCTTTTACTTGTTCCTAACGCATTTGGCACTGCTAATCGACTCCAGTGGGGTGCCGTATTCACTGCATTTTTCCCAGTAGAATGTTTGCAGTCCTAGAGTTCTTGCAGTGGGACCAATCACAAGACTTGGCAGTTGCAGTTTCCTGATTTCTTCTGGCAAACGATTGTCTTCGGATCTCGCTCTGCCAGGATGGGCACTTCCCAGCCAAACCCTCCCTGCCCAGTCGGCCATCCCAGCCAAACCCTCCCTGCCCAGTCGGCCATCCCAGCCAAACCGTCCCTGCCCAGTCGGCCATCCCAGCCAAACCCTCATGAATCAAGAGGAGCAGCAAGAAGACGACTCAGGTTCGGTATTTTCTCGGTTTGGGTTTGGGACCGGCAGGCTGGGCCACGCCTGGGATGCCAGTTTGCCAGCCAGCTGTGCGCGTCCTCCTGGGTGGCCGGGCATGTTGCAGCCGCGCGACAACAACGTGATCTCGCGCGCGCGCGACAGCTGGTTGGCCCTTGCCCCCCCGTGGCTGAAATTCCGTTCTGATTGCTGATAGCCCATCCCCAACCCAGCCCTAACATGGCTCCCCCCAAACCAGCAACCGCAACGATTTCGCCTGAGTCCCTCGATCTGGTGGGCGGAATGCGGCTAGCTTGTTTTGGACATGAGTGGGATGAACATTGTTTTGTTGGCAGGAGAAAGACGGTTACTTCCGTTATCTTCGGCACGCTGGGTAATTTTCAGCACGAAAATCACGAACAAACATCAAACCTACCGACCGACCTACGTCTAAAATCAGCACTGATTTGGGTTATTCTGTATTGTCTGGTATGGTGTACGCCAGTACAGTACACCCCTCCTCCCCCATTTTTCTCTTCCCTCCCTCCTCTTCCCCTTCCCTCCCCCGCCAAACCACTTCCCCCTCCCCCTCTCCCCTCTGGCGTTCCCGACCCGAACCTCCCTTTCCCCCTAACGCATCTGCCTCAGTCACATCAGCAACAGCAACAACTCGTCGAATCTACGTCATTGTTGGTGGTTCGTTGGGTGCACGCACGGACACAGACTGCCTCACCCCTCGAATTTCGAGGACTGACTAGAGCAGGCCTGTCGACTGACGGGCATATTCCCTTAATGCCCTGAACTTCCGGGCTACTTTCGCTCCAGCTCGACTGCATCAAGTGTTAGGATCGCCCTGCACCCGTGCCACTAAGTGCTTCGTTCGACCCTTCCCCGGATGCGTTAAGTGCTCCAACCTGGCCTTCCCCACCCACAAAGTTTTGATTTCTGGTTCTAGGACCCCCCCCCAAGAAATTCTGCCTGACCCCACCCCACTCCCCCCCCCTTCTCCTTAGGTTGCACCAGAGCGCGCCAAGGGGATTTTTCCCTCAGCGTTTTCTAGCCAGTCCCGTGTTTGTGATATCTCTAAGTCAGCTTTGGACCAGCCGAACTTTCCCTTAGCTAAGATAGTGTAAGTGCAAGCCCGGATTTCAAGTTTCCACTTTGGCCTGCGCCCGTGACG